TCTGGAGATTTTCAAGCCCCGCCTGGACGCGGTGCTGTGCAGCCTGCTCTGGGTGACCCTGCTTGGGCAGGGGGTTGGAGTAGATGACCCACAGAGGTCTCTTCCAACCCCTACCATTCTGTGATTCTGTGATCCCTTTTATAAATAATTGACATTTCTTGCAAGCAAGTTGAAGACTAGGGATGGAATAGTCTTGAACAGTGTTTATCATAAAACAACATTGTATAAGATGCAGAGGTGCATGCAATGAAACCAAACCAAAGCATTTACATTTCGTTCGACAAAGAGAAGACTGGCATTTTGATTAGTGCATATTGGAATGCTTCTTTCAATCAAAATGATCTTCCTGATGTTTTTTCTTCCATGAATAATTCCAGTGCTTACTGAAGCTTTCACTTCAGGATATAGTTAGAAGAAAATATTAATACCTCATTTTATATTGTGGGGAAGCATTAATGACAAGTTAAAAGGCAGAACACTGAATGTGGACTAAATGATGAGGTTCATTAATTGAAGGATTGGTACCACTGTACCAAGACCTGTGCCATTCAGCCTGTTCAGAACTGATCTGGACAGAGTGCAGATTAATGAGACCACAAAGATTACAGACTTCCGCAGAGCAGTCACATCTGTGGACAGATGCTTCCCATGTCCATACAGATGGAAGATGGCATGCAGTTATGACCATGCCGTGTAACATGGGAATGGTAGCTGCAGTGGTTGGTGCGGTTCGATATGATCAAGACCTGTTAGCACGCTCTTAAATCTGGGACTAAGTTGTAGCAGTTCAGAAGGATCTCGTAGTGCCAACAATGGAGTGATCTCATCTAAGTTTAACCTTCTAAAAATTACACCAAGTCTCAGTCCTCCCAGCTCACTCTGTAATCAGTGAAAAGAGAGAAGGTTGTCTCAGTGACAGTCATCCCATCCAAAAATAAGCGTCAAGAAAGGTGAGGAGAATTGCTGTGGGCAGTGCCTATCTTTTATTCTTTGATTTTGGAGGGAGAACTTCTAGCTAAGACTCCTGCTTCTTAGATGATCGCTATTTTAAAGGCAATGATCTACCTTACTTGTCTTTATTTACTTTCTATGGAAATATTTGCATCAAGGCTTCCTTTCTGCTCAGAAAAAGAGAAAAAGATCATGATTCATTTGACTTATTTTGAATGTCTGCCTTAGAATGAGATAAATCATCTCCTGAAATGCTTACATCTCCTCTGTACAAAAAGAAAATCTAAATGACCTACTCATATAGCGGCTTTACACTGTAAACATCAAGTGGTGAAATTAATTCTGTCTTATAGTAACTGGTCAATTGGGAGATGAAATTCAGTGTTAATAATGCAAAGCATTATACATGATGAAAAAACAGTCTCAACTATGTTTACCTAGTGATAGGCTTTAGATAGGCTGTTGCAAAAAAAGAGAGAAATTCTGGCACCACTCAGAGTAATTTAATTGTCTGAATATATCAGTACAATTTTCTATGATAGACAAAAAAGAAATGATGTGTTGGGACTTCTAGTGATAAGAAATGAGAACGGAATAAAAACATGGTAATATCTTTGTACAAATACACGTTCTTCTCATATCTTTATCTTACATGTAGTCTTGTCTCCCCTGGTCAGTAAAGACACATGAGAACTAGAACACACTGGAAGACAAAACCAAAGATTCCCTTTAGTGTGGACCAACATCTGTGTGAGGACAGATGAAATCTTTCCTCTTTGGCATTGAAGAGGAAAAACTTGGATGTGATAAAAATGTAGACAGCCATGATAAGGTTGAATAAGGAGTGTTTATACGTTATTTCTCAGAGTCCAAAAACTGGGGCTCTCATGGAAATGCTCAGGGTTTGATTTTAAAACAAACCACAGTACTTTTTTTCCACAGCATAAGTAACTGTCAGTACTGGGAGATGAGGAGGCCAAAAATATGAAGAGGTTCAAATAAATTTAGACAAATTACTGGAAAGTAAAGGCTTCCGTGCCTTTAAACCCACCTGTCTAGATGTAATCTCCATGTGCCCCGGTTTTGTGTTCTGCCTTGCTGTTTGCTACTGCTGCTGCTGACTGGATGCTGGGATAAGCTGACTTTTGGTCTGGCTCCATAATTTTTATGTTGTTAGGGATTTTTCATGCAAACGGAAATTCCAGATTTCAGCTAGGTCTATCAGGCACTTGTTCTAAGTCACTGACAATTGAAGTATTTTTTTTAATGGGAACACATGCCAGGAAATGCAGGGCTTTGCACTGCTTTGTAGATTTTGGTAATGAGTTTATCATACTCCACGCACTAATGATCATCACTGGTAGAACTGATAACAAATGGCCAAAGAGGAGTGAGAATTCCTGAGGAAGTTGCTGAGAACGTGTTGTTGCTTCTGGTACAGGAAGGAATGCTAGTCACTAACAATTGTAATCTCTT